GGCACCGGGTCCTGGAAGGGCTGGGGGCTCTGGCAGGGCCGAGCCAGGCTCTGGGGGCGGGCCTGGGGCGCTGGCGCTGGTGCTGAGCTCCTGCTGGTCTCTCCCCAGTTCCTGGCGATGGTGTTCCAGGACCTGCTGACCAACAAGGACGACTACCTGCGGGCCTCGCGGGCCCTGCTGCGGGAGATCATCAAACAGACCAAGCACGAGATCAACTTCCAGGCCTTCTGCCTGGGGCTCATGCAGGAGCGCAAGGAGCCGCAGTACCTGGACATGGAGTTCAAGGTGGGCGCTCACGCTCGCTGCCTCTCGTGCCGTTTCTGTGCACTCAGCTACATACAGTGCTCACGTGTGCAGCGGCCAGTCCCAGGGGGCAGCGGGGCTCCATCCTGTGAGGACCAGGGAGGGGCTGGCCAGGGGACCCCTCTGGGCTGGGTGTGGAGGTGGGGACAGATGGGAGCTGGAGGGCCGGGGAGCCAGGGGATGGGGACTGCGCGGACTGGGTCTGCTCTGGGTGGGATTTAGAGTGAGCGACGGGGTGGAGGGAGGTGATGCTGAAACGCAGGGATTGGGGCCGGGTGTGGAGGACATCAGATGCCACGCAGGCGAGTTGGCACAGGGCCGTGTGGTGCACGCTTCTCCGGGGCAGGCGCTTGTCCAGCCCTATTGGCTGCATCTCCCTCCCACAGGCTCTTGGTCCCTCGACCCCCTCCCGCCTGGCCCTCTCCTGGGACGGGCTTTCCCAGCGCCGTATGGGCCGGTGTCCTGTCCAGCGGCCTGTGTGCTCGGCCCGGGTGCGGCCTGGGTGTCAGCCGCTGTGCGGGGCTGTGCTTGCAGGAGCGGTTCGTGGTGCACATCACAGACGTGCTGGCCGTGTCCATGATGCTGGGCATCACGGCCCAGGTGAAGGAGGCCGGCATCGCCTGGGACAAGGGCGAGAAGAAGAGTAAGGATCGGGGTCCTGGTCGGAGACAGCAGGGCGCCGGGTGCTCCTGGGGCTGCCGGCCGTCCCCAGCGCCCAGGCCTCCCTCCCTGTGGCAGCCTGACCTGGACCCTGGGAGGCGTTGGCGGCCGTGAGCTGCGTGCAGGTGCCCCAGTGACCTGCGTGTCCCTTTCAGACCTCGAGGTGCTGCGCTCCTTCCAGAACCAGATCGCCGCCATCCAGAGAGACGCGGTCTGGTGGCTGCACACCGTCGTCCCCTCCATCAGCAAGATGGCCCCCAAGGACTACGTGCACTGGTGCGGCCTGGGGCCGTGCTGCCCCACTGGCACCGGGAGGGACAGGGCTGGCCACGCAGGAGCCTGTCTGTCCCCTTGGATGTGGCCACTGGCTGACACGAGCCTCAGGAGCCAGTGGGCAGCAGCATCCCCTCATGCTGCTGACACGCGGTCACCCTGTGCTGTGACCTCGGGCAGACCTTCCGGACGGGGCGGAGGTGGGGTCCCGTCTGCCCGGGGTTGGGGCATGTACACACCCCCTGTCACCTGCCAGCCCGCGCGCCTTGTCGGGGCTGCTTGTCGGGGTTGCTGCCGGCTCTCGGGAAGGCGTGGGGCGTCGCAGGCCTTAGGAAATAGCCGCCCCTCGGAGACGTGCCCGCCTTGGAGCTGACGGGCGGCTGGCGAGAACCCTGGGCACCACCTGACGCTCTGCCTCCCTCCCCGCAGCCTCCACAAGGTGCTCTTCACAGAGCAGCCGGAGACTGCTCCAGGACGAGTCCACGCATCCCTGCCCCCTGCCGCCGCCTCCTGTGCCACCTTCTCTCCCAGAGATGGAGCTCTGCCGGGGGCTCCCATCTCCACCCCTGATGGCTCCCGAACGGCCGCCCTCCTTCCAAACCGCTGCGCACGCATCCTTCCCCACTGGGCAGTCCCGCTCTGCCTCCGCCGAGCCCAGCGCCCCCGCCCCGTGCACCCCCCTCAGTCCCTGCTGCTGGTGCAGCTCACTCCGCACACTCCCCCCGTCCATTTGGGGGCTCGCAGGCTCTGCTGGCCGCCCCTCGCTCTGAGCCCCCAAAGGGCCGGCACCTTCTCACGCTCCTCCCTGGGAGGCCAGGCCGTGTCCACAGAGGCCTCAGGAGCAAGTGGCCGGGAGAGGGGGGTGGTGGCCCCTTTGGCACTTGGCACTGGGGTCACCTGCCAGTCTGGCTGGCCCCCCTGAGCCCAGCCTCTCCCTGCTCCCCCCACAGCTTCTTCCTCCGCCTGTGCTCTGAGGTGCCCATCCTGGAGGACACGCTGATGCGCATCCTGGTCATCGGGCTGTCCCGCGAGCTCCCGCTTGGCCCCGCGGACGCCATGGAGCTTGCTGACCACCTGGTGAAGCGAGCTGCGGCCGTGCAGGCGGACGGTAAGGGTCCTTCGGGGCTTGTCCTGGCCCAGTTGGCGCCGGCCGCCCGCCGCGGGCTCTCACTCGGGTCAGCTCCCCCTGCCCGCTGTGCTGCTACCCCCAGCAGCCCTGCCTGCTCGCTAGACCGGCTCAGGCGCCACCCAGTGAAGGCTTGCCTCAGTTTCCCCGGGGTGGCTCCTCCTGGTGCCCGTCAGTCCTTCCTCCATCCCAACTTCTGGGGAGCAGGCCCGTCTTCTTGCTCCTGGTGCCACGGCCTGACCCTGGGCCTTGCTTTTCAGACGTGGAAGTGCTGAAGGTGGAGCGGGTCCAGCTGCTTGACGCCGTCCTGAACCTGTGCACCTACCACCACCCCGAGAACATCCAGCTGCCCCCGGGGTAGGCCTGGGCGTGCCTGGTCCGGATCCCCTCGCTCTGCCCTGATGCTCCCTCCCTCCCCCAGGGGCTGAGGCCAGCCTACCGGAGTCCGAGGCGCTTTCCCGCTGGGGTTCGGGGCCCCTGTTCTCCCTCGGGTCTCAGGCTGGCCCTGTGTTGTCACACGCACGCTTTGTCTTTGGACAACGCCGCTCTCTCCCGCAGCCCTGTGTGGAGAGCCCACGTGTGCTGCCCGCGTCTGAAGTTCGGGACTCAGCGTTTTAGTGCGTCCACAGGCTGGGCGACCGTCGCCACCCCTGAATTTCAGAACCTCCCCCCAAAGACAGTGAGGCACAGGCCCGGGCCGCGAAATTTATTTATTTATTTATTTATAATACGTTTTTATTGATTTCAGAGAGAAAGGGAGACGGGGGGAGAGAGAGAGAGAAACATTAATGATGAGAATCATTGATCGGCTGCCTCCTGCACACCCCACACTGGGGATCAAGCCCGCAACCTGGGCCTGTGCCCTTGACCGGAATTGAACCTGGGACCCTTCAGTCCGCAGGCCGACACTCTATCCACTGAGCAAACCGGCCAGGCCCGGGCTGTGAACTTGAAAGCAGTTGCCGAGCTGGTCTGTCCCTGACGCGTGCGGAAGCCGCCTGGCCTGGACCCAGGCTCGTCGCTGATGTGTGCGGCTGAGGCTGGCTGTCGACGCCCTTGTGTTTCAGGTATCAGCCTCCCAACCTCGCCATCTCCACCCTCTACTGGAAGGCCTGGCCCCTCCTGCTGGTTGTCGCCGCGTTCAACCCGGAGAACATCGGTGAGCCCTCGGCCGCACGGCGCATCCTGGCTGGGCGGTGGCGGCTCTTCCTTTGGGCGTCTGGCTTGTCAGGACCTGGGGGAGCTGGCTGGCCCTGGATCACGGGCTGGGAAGGGGGCCCCGGGTGGCTGAGTGGGGGTGCTGTGTCTCCTTGCCCTCAGGTCTGGCCGCCTGGGAGGAGTACCCCACGCTGAAGATGCTCATGGAGATGGTGATGACCAAGTACGCTGGCTCGCCCGCGGCTGACGGACCCCGAGGGGCGGCCGTCTGTGCCGGGAGGTGGAGCCCAGACCGAGCTGCGCTGGGGTCCCTGTTCCTTGTGGGCTCGTTTCTGAATCTCCGTCTCCAGAGCTTTACTCCCTCCTCCTGGCTGCAGGGTGGGGCAGGCACTGAGGCTGCAGGGTCGGCCTGGGGGCACGCGTGTCGGGTCAGGCAGAGGGTGGTGTGATGTAGGACAGAACGGAGAGGAATGGGGGGCCGGACCTGGTGAGGCCGACGGAGACAAGGTGGTTTGTCAGGAGCAGGTGTGAAAGCTGCTGGGGGCCGACAGGTGACCTGCCTCTATGCACGGCGGGCCCGGCTCAGCCTGAGCGCCTCGCTCGCTCCTCAGTGAGCCCAGAAAGCGGCGCTGTGTGCGCACGTGTGCGGCTCTGCGTGTGGCCCAGGCTGGGGACACAGCTCCGTGCACACCTTGGGTTGTTGTGTGGAGGGCGAGCGGGTAGCCAGGCCTGGGCTCCGGAGAACACAGGGCTCCCGTAAGGACGTCTGACTTGGATTGCGGGGCTCCCAGTGGGGCCTGACGGCTGAAGCTGGGCCCCAGGCAGGGGCCCCCAGCGCCTCGATGCCTGGTGACCGCTCCCCTTCTGGCCTCAGCAACTACTCCTACCCGCCGTGCACCCTGACGGACGAGGAGACCCGCACCGAGATGCTGAACCGCGAGCTGCAGACCTCGCAGCGGGAGAAGCAGGAGATCCTGGCCTTCGAGGGGCACCTGGCAGCCGCCTCCACCAAGCAGACCATCACCGAGAGCAGCAGCCTCCTCCTGTCGCAGCTCACCAGCCTGGATCCCCAGTACGCGCTGCTGAGTCCCCGCCCCTCGGCTCTTACTGAGCCTGGCGTGGGGGTGGGGGGGGAGCCGCCCCCAGACGGCATGGCCTGGGGTCCCGGCGGCTGTGTGTGACCGGCCTCTCACGTCGTGTGCTCTGGGCTCGCAGAGGGCCCCCGCGGAGGCCGCCCCCTCACATCCTGGACCAAGTGAAAAGCCTCAACCAGTCCCTGCGCCTCGGGCACCTGCTGTGTCGGAGCCGAAACCCAGACTTCCTGCTCAAC